AAACCACTGTACTTTCACTTAGCAGCCAAGCACTCTACCCACTGCGCCATCATCAGGGCTCCTTGTAATCACTGCTGCTGTTGTTGTTGTTGTTAGGTGCCACTGAGTCAGTTCCAACTCACAGTGAACTTGTATAAGGTTTCCAAGGAGCGGCTGGTAGGCTTGAACTGCCAATCTTGTGGTGAGCAGTCCACTGCTTATACTACAGTGCCACACCAGGACTCCATGAAGAGGCCTATTTTCCTCTAACGACCTGGACAGCTTTGTCTATGGACTTCATCATCTACTGACCACGGTTCTTCTCCTGTTTCCATCCTGGAGAGTGCATACGGTTTTCCAGTGAGAGACCCCAGGGACACCAGGTGACTGTAGTTCTCCAGCATCACGTCCCGGTACAGGGCCTTCTGAGCAGGGGCCAGGAGCTGCTACTCCTCCCGGGTGAACTCTACAGTCATGTCCTCCAGTGTCAGCGAGTCCTGGTTCTTGATCATTTTCTTCTGTGATCATGAGACAACCAGTAATTAGGATGCTGTGATTTTAATCTCTCTTGATTTGCCCTAAATTTCTGGTTAGAAATCTCAGTCTGTGGCCAAGGGTATCCCAGGAATCCGCTGATCCCAGAACAAGTGCATCACTTTCCTTGATGTAGCTTGGTCCTGGAGCCCGGGCTTCAGTGAATTTGTCAACTGCTGGCCATTCGCCCAGTCCCGAAAAACAGTCTATGGCGGCCGATGAGCTCTTTCTTTTTTCTTTTTTTTGGTGTATTGTTTTTCTTTGAGGTTACCCTGTAATTTATTAATTTCTTCCCCAGTTTAAAACAATCTGTTTTGTCTTGAAATCTACTTCCTCGTAATTTGTAATTCTGTAACTATACTTTTCCCTCATTTTGATTTGTAGTTTTCTTGATAATAAATTGATATAATTGATTCCCGATTTCAGTCTTGTAAATTTGTTTTACTGAGATATTTTTGTATCTGGATTGAATTCATGAGCGTGTTGCCATTATTTCAATCTCCAGTTGTTGTCTGTTGTTGTTGGTTCTCTGTTGAAAGGAATCCCCTTAACATTTTTTATAAAATTGGTTTGATTTTTATGAAGTCCTTTAATTTCTGTTTATCTGGCAATGTTCTAACTTTGCCATCATATTTGAGAGACAGTTTTGCTGGTTATATGATTCTTGGTTGGCAATTTTTTTTTTTCTTTCAGAGTTTTGTGTATGTTTCCCCATTGCCTTCTTGCTTGCATGGTTTCTGCTGAGAAATCAGAGCTTAATCTAATTGACTCTTTTTGTAGGTAA